GAACTAATTGCCCTGACACAAGCTTTAAGATGGGCTAGAGGAAAGTCAGCAAACATCTATACTGATGGCCGCTATGCTTTTGCAGTGGCTCATGTTCATGGTTCCCTCTACGTCCTCTGGCAAGGAAATCAAAAATAAGGAAGAAATCCTAGCCCTGTTAGAAGCCATCTGGATCCCACAGAGAGTAACAATCATGCATTGCAAAGGGCACCAGAAAGGGAACAACCCCATCACGAAGGGAAACTCCCTAGCTGACCAAGCAACAAGGGACATAGCCACAAGACCAGTGGGGCCCCTCGACATACTTCCTCTGCTCCCACAAAGGGAATGACCAAAGCAACCCAACTATACTCCAGGAGAAGTCGAATTAGGGAACAGGCTAAATTGTACAAAAGGGCCCCACGGCTGGCTACAACTACAAGACCAACGCCTGCTGCTACCAAAGGTGCTTGGATTAGACCTACTGCGCTCCCTGCACAGGAGCACCCATCTTGGAACTTCAAAATTAACGACCCTCCTAAATAGACATTTCTACATACCAGACTTAAAACGGATGGCTCATTCGGCTGTCGCTAGATGCTTGGCCTGCGCCAAAGTAAACGCAGGCCCACCCGTATGCCCAGCCTCGGGGATCCGTGAATGAGGACGAGAACCTGGAGAACATTGGGAATTAGACTTCACTGACATGGCACCAGGAAAATTTAACTACAAATATTTACTTGTCTGTATTGATACTTATTCAAGATGGACTGAAGCATTCCCCACAAAAGGGGAATCTGCTCATATCGTCATCAGGCATCTACTCTCTGGGATCATCCCTCGATTTGGCCTTTCCTTAGCGTTGGGGTCCGACAATGGTCCAGCATTCATTGCCAAAATATCTCAATTACTAACAAAAACCTTAGGGATAGATTGAAAATCACATTGTATTTATAGGCTTCAGAGCTCAGGACAAATAAAAAGGATGAATAGGACTCTAAAGGAAACTTTAACTAAGCTACACTTAGAGACAGGCGAGAATTGGGTAAGTCTCTTGCCCTTTGCACTATTGTGCACCCCCTGCTCACCTTATCTAAAGAAACTCACCCCATTTGAAATTATGTTTGGGCAACCCCCGCCCATTTTACCTAAGCTTAGTTCTGAATAGCTTGCTGAATTTCATAACTGAGATCTCTTAAAGTCCTTACAGGCTATTCAACTCCTTCGAGATAAGACTCGACAGCTCCTTCAATGACCTGAAGGACAACCTCTGCCATCCCCGACTCAGAAGTACAACTCAGGGGACTGGGTTTGGCTGAAGAGACACCACCCTGAGAACCTTGAACCCCAGTGGGACGGACCATACTTAGTCATCCTACCTACTACAACTGCTGTAAAGGTTTCAGGTAAAAGGTATTGGATTCACCAACTCAGGTAAAATCAGCTACCCCTGACTAAGTTCCTGAAAAATGGATGACAATATGGCAGGAGGACCCCTTAAAACTAAAATTAATCAGGCTCTCTGTTTCCTCCTCTTCCTCTGCCCCTTCCTAACAAGTGCCCAGGGTAACCCATTCAGTAAGTCCAAATGAGTAATCATGAGAACTATAGATGGAACTGTCATCTCCTCCAATGAGACATATGGGGAGGATCCTACCCTCTCCTTTGACCTAGCTCGCCTGTTTGGAGATGACATCTGCATAAACCTAGAACTAAAGAATAGGGGAGGACTATTCCTATCTGGCCTAGGCACAGCCGAAACAATATGTAGCCCCCTCTTCACTGTGCAACTCCTCTGGAAAACGCCACATTATGCCTGTCCTGAAAATCCTTCCCCCTAAGTCTGTCCTGTGGAACAGCGGCCGACTATTACTGCAGATCCTGGGGATGTGAAACTTTGGCTTTAGGCTGGGATCCGGGGAGAAGAAACGACCCTCTACTACACCTCTACAAGCATACCACTCCCTGACCTGAAAAAGGTAACAATCCTGAAAAATGTAACCCGACCACCATAACTATTCTAAATCAGTTTGACGCTAGCTGGAATACAGGAAAAACTTGGGGACTAAGGCTTTATTTATCAGGTGAAGACACTGGGACTTTGTTCACCATTCAGAAAATTTATAAACGGCCGACGCTCTCTGCCAAACCTATAGGCCCAAATCCAGTTCTCAACTTCAGCCTTCGAAAACCCACAACCCCCACCCCAAATCGGGATACCTCTACCTCTCTTACTATATGACCCAGCCTTCCCAAACAGGCTCCAAGACCTCCACCCAGATCCGAGGCTCCCGACAGCTCTATATTTAGGACTCTAGACTCAGTTTTCTCCCGAGTGAACAAAACCTCTCCAAATACCACAGCTGACTGTTGGCTTTGTCTCGATCCCACTCCCCCATATTACGTGGGGATCACTGCTAACATTTCTTTTGGAGACTCTTCAGATCAACTCAGGAATCTCTCTCTCCAGGAAAAGGCCAACCTGAACCTAACCCAGGCCATCTGCGGACCCCATCCTTGACTCACCCTCGGAGACCTTCAGGGCCCTGGGACCTGCGTTACCACGAGTCCGGACCTTGTCGGATCCTCATCCTACCAAAACCACTGTCCTACTCCGATCGTCCTCAACCGAGGCGATGACGACAACCCACCCTGGGTCACAATAACACCTGAAGGGACTTGGTTTGCATGCACCTCTGGACTTTCCTTCTGCCTAACACCCCCATTAGACCCCCCAGAAATTTGCATCTTAACCTATATCATCCCACAGGTCTACTTATATGCAGGACCTTCAGGGACAGAACATTTCCTGGCCCCTGAGGAAAATTCTCGATTACATAATAGGAGCCCCCTTCTTAGCAGGATTTGCTCTTGCTGGTTCTGCTGCAACAGTGCGGCAGCGCTCATCACCAGGCAGACTGATATTAAGTGGCTCTCTGCCCCATTCACTAAGGACATCCAGCTTCTCAAAGACCAGGTAGAAGAACTAGAAAAGGCCTTAGATTCCCTTGCTGAGGTAGCACTCCAGAACCGACTGAACCTCCTCTTCCTCCAGCAGGGTGGTTTATGTGCAGCACTAGGGGAAGCTTGCTGTTTTTATGCCAATAGATCAGGAGCCATCAGAGAGAGTATTCAGGTTCTTAGAAAGCGCCTCACAGAACAGGCCAGAAATGAAGAGGCCTCTAATAGCTGGTTCAAAGACCTCTATAACTGGTCCCCCTGGCTCACTACTCTTCTCTCTGCTCTAGCAGGCCCCCTCATACTCCTATTTCTAGGACTGACATGTGGACCTATAATTATAAACAAATTAATAGCTTTCATAAGAGAGAGGGTCCAATCTGTCAAATTATTAGTCCTAGTTTCTCATTACCAAAGGTTGCCATTAGATGAACAACAGGAATCAAAGATTTGATCTGTACATAAGACCAGTGGGGAATGTTATAGAAGGCTTTTGCCCCATAAAAATTAACTGGAGTTTGACCTTCATTGGGAATATGAAAAGCAACATCCTTCAGAAAAAGGGAGGACAGAAACAGCCTCAAGGCCAGAGTGTCCTGCATGCTCTGTAAAGAAACTGATAGGGAGAACCTGAAGCTCCCTTTACCCCATAAAACTGTAACTGTTAAAAATATATGTATTGCACCTGGCTAACGGCTGATATCTGTCTCTGTCACAAGCTTGCTAGCTAGTATTTGTTTAACCCTGATTATAAAAGGGCTGAAAGTCTGCTGCTGGGGGCTGCAGTTCTCCTCTGCATAGGTTGGCTGCAGTCCCTGAGCAGGTAATAAAGCTCCTAATATTCAAAATTACTTTGTGTCCGAGTGAAGTTGATTCTCCTGGGTTACAACAGTGCGGTCACAGGCTGCCTGGCCTGAGAGTTTTTGCTCTCTTAGAAAGTGCACTGTCTCTTCTCCAGTGAACCCTCTGAGTCCCAAGGCTACTGCTCAGCCAGGCCCGCTTGTGAGGTGTCTTTCTCCCAGGACCCAGAATAGCCACAGCCAGGCCCTGGGCCAAATCTGTGAACAGGGACTTGAACCCATAGCCTCTGGGGAATTTCCTCAAACTCGGCTTGAAGCTAGACCCATTAGCAACAGCCCCTGCTATTGGTTAATGTATATCTGGAGACTAGGAGAAAGGGATGTTGTTCTACCATCGGGGAATCCAGAGAAAAAGTCGGAGGAAGGCTGAACTGAGATAAAGATGGGGCAGAGAGAGGAAGCGCCAGTCAGACACAGATTGAGGCCTAGAGATGGAGAAACAGGGCAGGTCAGAACTGGCGACAGAGACAAGGAGAAAGGCCTGGCGCAGAAAGTCTCAGTCTGGGGCAGGGATGCATCAGATAGCCTAGACTGAAACAAGGATGATCCGGCTGCATTCGAGGTCGAGCCAAAGTACCCGCGGTCCAGCACCGAGTGCTGGATGCTGGGGAAGCAGAAGACCAATCGCCATGCCCACCCCCTCTTCCCACCCCCAGCGCCCCTCGCCTTTTCCTGCCCAGGACTCCACCCCACCGAGGCCCAACCACCCCCGCATCTCGCCTCAGACACACCCGCAACGTGCCTCTCCCCTCTGCAACCCGCCCCGGAAACTCCCCTAGCTGCCCCTCAGCCACGCCCCCCACACCCAGTTCCCCGCACCTCAAGGGCCCAGGAGAGGCCCCGCCCCCTTCATAAGTGAATAATCGGACCCACCCTGACACGCCCTCCCGCGGCCTTGCAAGCCGGGTGTCAGTGGTCCAGGCTGAGGCTCCAGGTTCAGCGCTGGGAGGACTGCAGGGCCTTCCTTTGGACTAGGACGTCGTGCTCCTCATGTCCAACTGTTCTTCCCAAGTGTGAAGCAGGACAGTGAGGGTATCAGAGCCGGTGACCTCTGCCTCCCTCCAAGGGAGCGGGTGCGCGTTGGAGGGGCTCACCCAGGGGTTGGAACAGGTAGCACCTCCCTCCCGCCCGGAGGGCACGGGGCAAAACTGGAAGCTAGCGCTTGAGCCGTGAGCCAGGCTCTTTATCCCCTGTAATCCTTACCTCCATCCTGGGTGTTAGATCCCATTGGAACCTCCACTTCAGAAGAGGGGAAAGAGTCAGCGATGAAGTTTGTGCTTGTTTTGGACGACAGCACCTTGTAAGTGATGGCAGTGGGATTTGAACCCAGATATTCTGATCTCTCTTTGCGTTTCCATCTCTCTTTTACAGAAAAAAAATAGGAAGAGGAGGAGAAAAGGAAGGTTTATTGTGGTATAACTCACATCTTTTAAATTTTTACTTAGTAATTTTTTTTTTAAATTTACACCCTCTTTACACTGACAGTTCAAAAAATGTTGACAGCCTTGGCGGGTGTGGCTCAGTTGGTTGATCATCGTCCTAGCATGGAGGGTGGGGGTTGCCAGTTCGATTCTATTTGAGGCACATACTCAGTAGGGGGTGCGTGTGGGAGGCAGCCAATTAATGTTTTTTCTCTTTTTCCCTCTCCCTTCCTGTCTCTCTAAAAAAATCAATAAAAACATATTTTTGGAAAGAGTGTTAAGCTAAGGTCACAAGCTGAGAGTAAAGGGGTGGGTGGGGTGGTTGAAGAAAGAAAATAAAGCATATCACCTCTCAGACTAATGGAGTGTAATTGCCTGGCAGTGTTCAGAATCCCTTTGAGTTTTGCAATCATGAATTTAAAGTGAAACCCGGCTCATGGGCTGTGTGATTCTCCCCCACCTCCCATCCCAGCAGTTGGGTGCAAGCAGGGAAAACGCAGGTGTTGGACTCATCCGGGCTTGAGTTTTTGCTAAGTAACTAGGAGAGAAAAACAGGACCAGTCACTCCTCACCCTACAAAAGAACTCAAAGTCATTTTTAACACTTTGTTCTCCAGAGAGCAGCATGAGAAGGACTCACCCCTGAAATGTCATTCCTAGGCCTGGGTGTTTGGAGAGGGGGATGAGTGGGCAACTGCCAGAAGTCAGTCAGTCCCCACCTGTTTTTCTTAGTGTCTCCCAAACACTGGTGGTCTGGGCGGCCTTTATTTGGTTCTAAGTGTGCATGAAGCAGAGTCATTGCAGAGGTGGAGGTAGGCACCATGTGTTCCAAGGCAACGGATGGGAGAAGCAAGACCAGAATCTCGCTCCTCTATTTTATCTTCCTGGTTCAAAACAGCCTACTCCTCCCATCACCCAAAGAGATTTTCACACCATTCCCTCTCAGACAGGCCAGCAGTTGTGCTAAATCAACACCTTATTCGACCCTGACCTGCCTTTGTATTTATCACCCCATAATCCAAGTGTTAGTTTATTTGCCTGTTTCTACACAGTGACTGAGTATATTTGTCTGGGTAGCCTTAGCACTTGGCGCAGGGTAAGAACAACCAAGTTTATTTCTACAAATGCGAGGCTCTAGAGTAAGGCTTAGAATAACATACTTATTTCCTTAGGAGATGTTTTGGGCCTGGATCCACACAGAACTGTTCGGCCCCACCTTTCCAGAATGGAAGGGGTGATATTTGCCTGTTTCTAGGTGGACCCAAACCATGCACCACAGAAAGTTTGGGTTTCACCCTTTTCTCCCTTAATATTCTGTGGTTTGGGGTCACAAGAGAGCCTGTGCAGATGTTCTTTTTACTTTGTGGTATGTCTTTAGGCACAAGTCCCTTGTTTCAAAAGAAATTTCCATTTCAGGCCCTGCTCACCTCAGCCCAGTGGACAGAGCTTGGAGCCAGGATGTACTGCTCTGGCCTGAAATGGAGAAGTGGAGAAGACAAAGCTAAAAGTGAATTATTTTAGGTGGGTGAAGTCAGTCTGCAGGGAGCAGTTACTTAGAGTAAATCATTAGCATTACTGGAAGCCAGAGTAGCCTCAACCTGTGTTCTTGTGGTTTTGCACAAGAGGAGACACAGCAAAGGTAAAAGCAGCTCAGGAAAGACAGAAGCACAGAGAAGCAAACAGGACCGCTGTGCAGACTCTTCCATACCCCACTTTTGCTTCTTCAACCTCTCCCCTCTTCTGTTTTTGTTTTTGAGTTTCTGTTTTTCTAAGCTCCTCTAGTCATGCTTTCAGGTGGCTCAGGACCTTCTCCCTTCTCCAGGTCTTGGCCACTGTGCGGGTAAGGAGCCATATGGTTCCAGCAAATTTTGCCAAGCTGCTTCCAGGAAAAGCTCAGGGAGGGGGAGGGGAGAATTACCTCAAAGGCCATCAGGACTTCTGAATTAAAGTACTGGCCGCAAAAGAGAGAGAGTCATTTAGCTTCTAAAGAAATTACACTCAGGTCTGATATTCAGAAAACCAATTTTCACGGGGGTGGGAGGAGAAGGGGGTGCTGTTTTGCAGGAAACCAAGGCAAGCAGAAGGTGTTAGAAGCTGCCATCCTGACAAAGTAGAGGATGAAAACTTGGTTTGTTGAAAGGCCATGGAGAGCATATTCAGCCTTAGAAGTAAGATCTTCCTCCGAGAAGTCCAAAAGGCCTTTTTGTCCCCCAAATATTAAAGCATCCCCTTTGCTGGATGCAATGGTCAGTACTTTACACTGTGACTCAGGGTGAGCAGAGCAGTTCTAAAAATTGGGAGCATTACCTCCATTCCTCAAGGTGATGGTTTGGGAAGGGTGGGCCACATACTGAAGAAGTAGAGGGGTGGGCTTCTCTGCTCTGATTGACTTTGCCTGCAGTCACCTGGCCCCAGAACTTAGCCTGGGCCTCCTATCAAGTTCACATCCATCTCTACAGTTGAATCAGGACCAAGGCAGATAGATGCCTTAACTGTGCTAAGTCCCCCCCGCCCCCCCCCCGCCTTTTTTTTATCCCGAGGACATTTTTCCATTTTTTGTTCAGATAGAGTTGGAGGGAGAGAGAGAGAGAGAGAGAGAGAGAAACATCGACGTAAAAGGGACACATTGAGTGGTTGCCACCCACACGACCCAATCAGAGCCGGGGACAAACTGCAACCGAGGTATGTGCCCCTACCGGGAACTGAACCCGGATCTCTCTGGACCGCAGGCCGATGCTCTAACCGCTGAGCCAAACCGGCCAGGGCAATTTCCTCTTTCTTTTGATGCCAGCAATTGCCCTGGAGCCTAGACCGTTGCTCCAGTGCTAGGAATGTGAAGGAAGGTGCAGTTCCTGGACCACTCGAGGAGCTGGTAAATGACACCTAACCGCACAAATATACACTGTTGTGAATGGGAAACCATGTAAAAAGATGAACTTGTATCATTGGATCCTGGCAAACTGCCTTAAATGCCTCATAATTATGGGGAAATTCCTGAAACTCTAAAATTTAACCATTAAACAAAATTGCAATGTCTACAGCAAAGAATAAATGTTCTTAAACATGTAATGAGCTCTTAGCAAACCAATAAGAAAGACAATTGAACAAAATTTTTAAAAAACTGAACATATGAAGGGAGAGTTCATGGAAAAATTGAAAGGATGCTAAACCTCACTCATCAAGTAAACGTGATTTTTTATTAATTATATATTTATTTGAATAGATAATATTGGCCCATGATGAAAATTCAAACAGTTCGAAAGATATTATATAGTGAAAAGGATGTATACCCTTCCACTTTCTTTCTTGAAACCAACCATTATTAGCAATTTCTTTTTATTTACTTTTTATTAAAATATATTTGACAGATAACATTAGCAATTTCTATAGATTCTTCTAGAATTATCCTATTTGTATGCAAATCATTAACATAAATAACCTCCTTTTCACATAGGTGTTAACATACTATTTACTTTGTGGTATGTCTTTAGGCACAGTCCCTTGTTTCAGTAGAAATTTCCATGTTAGAGGACACACTTCAGGATCTGCTCATGAGAGCCCAGTGGTCAGAGCTTGGAGCCAGATTGTACTGCTCTGACCTGAAATACAAGTGGAGAAGACAGAGCTGAAAGTGAAACAAGTGAATTATTTTAGGTTGTTTTTAGTGTATTGCTTCATATTTAGGTTAAATTATTTTAGGTTGTTTTTAGTGTATTGCTACTATTAAGAATACAGCAGTGTCCCTGGCTGGTGTGCTCAGTGGTGAGAGCATTGTCCCATGCACTGAAGGGTCTCAGGTTTGATTCCTGGTGGGGACACATACCCAGGTTGGGGGTTCAATCCCTGCTTGGGGCTTGTGCGTGAGGCAGCTGATCACATTGATCTCTCTCTCTCTCTCTCTCTCTCTCCCTCTCTCTCTCTCTATCTTTCTCTATGGAATCAATGAAAAAAATGTTTTCAAATGAGGATTTAAAAAAAAGAATACAGCCTGGCCAGTGTGGCTCAGTAGATTGAGCATTGTCCCATGAACTGAGAGGTCCCGGTTCGATTCCTGATCAAAGCACATGCCCAGATTGTGGGTTTGATCCCCTGTAGGGGGCATGCAGGAGGCAGCCAACTGATGTATTTCTCTCACATCAATGTTTCTATCTCTCTCTCTAAAAAAAAAAAAAATTAATAAAAAAATAAAATAAAGAATATAGCAGTGAACATCTGTGTTCATGCTTCTTTGTTCACACTTGTGAAAATATCTGAAAAATTCTAGCGATGGAATTACTGGGTCAAAGGGTATGTGCATTTCAAATTTTCATAGGTACACTCCAGAGATTGTGCCAGTTTATGCTAACTGACAAGGTATGAAAATGTATTTCTTTACTCTCTTGGAAACAGTGTATTAGCAGACCTGTTTTATCTTTGTTAATCTGGGAGATTTTTTAGAATGCTGTTTCATGGAAGAATCAACATCATTAAAATGTCCAAAGCAATCTATAGATTCAATGCAATCGCTATTAACGTATCAATGGCCTATTTCACAGATCCAGAACAAATACTCCAAAAGTTTACATGGAACAACAACAACAACAAAAAATAGCCACAGCAATCTTGAAAAAGAAGAACAAAGTGGGAGGGATCACAATAGCAGATATCAAGTTATACTACAAAGCCACTGTAACCAAAAAAACCTGGTACTGACACAAGAACAGGCATATAGACCAATGGAACAGAACAGAGAACCCAGAAATCAGCACAAGAAATTATGCGCAATTAATATTTGACAAAGGAGGCAAGAGCATACAATGAAGAAAAGACAGTCTCTTCAATAAATAGTGTTGGGAAAATTGGACAGGTACACACACAAAAAAAATAAAATAAAACGAGACCACCAACTTACATCATACACAAGAATAAACTCAAAATGGATAAAAGCTTTAAATGTAACTTGTGAAACCATAACAATTCTAGAAGACAATGTAGGCAGCAAAATTTCAGCTATCACACATAGCAGAATTCTCACTGATAACATCACCATGGGCAAGAGAAACAAAGGAAACATTAATAAATGGGACTACATCAAACTAAAAATCTTTTGCACAGCGATATAAACCAGCATCAAAATGAAAAAGGAGCCCTGGCTGGTTTGGCTCAGCAGTTAAAGCAATGGCCCACAAACCAAAGAGCCATGGGTTTGATTTCGATCAAGGGCAAGTACCTCAGTTGTGATTCGATCTCCGGCCCTGGTTGGGGTTGTGAGGGAGGCAACCAATCGATGTGTCTCTCATATCGATGTTTTTTTCTCTCTCTCTCTCTCTCTTTCTCTCTCTCTCTCTCTCTCTCTCTCTCTCTCTCTCTCTCTCTCTCTCTCTCTCTCTCTCTCTCTCTCTCTCCCTCTCTCCCTCCCACTCTATCTGAAAATCAATGGAAAATCCTTGGGTGTGGATTTAAAAAAAAATGAAAAGGGAACCCACTCTCTGGGAGAACATATTTGCCAATGATATATTGGATAAGGGGTTAATTTCCAAAATATATGGCATACTCATACAACTCAACAAAAGGAAGACAAACAATCCAATTAAAAAATGGGCAGAGGACCTAAATACACACTTCTCTAAAGAGCACTTACAAATGGCCAAGAGATGTAAAAAAATGTTCAGCACCATTAATCATCAGAGATGCAAATTAAAAAGACTATAAGAGATATCACCTCACACCTGCCAGATTGGCTGCCATCAACAAATCTTCAAACAACAAATGCTGGTGAGGACATGGAGAAAAGGGGACTCTGGTACACTGCTGGTAGGAATGCAGACTGGTGAAGCCACTATGGAAAACAGTATGGTGCTTCCTCAAAAAATTAGAAATTGAACTACCATTTAACCCAATGATTTCACTTCTTGGAATATATCCTAAGAAGCCTGAAACACCAATCAGAAAGAATATATGCACCCCTATGTTCATAGCAGCACTATTTACAATAGCTAAGATCTGGAAACAACCCAAGTGTCCATCAGTAAATGAGTGGACAAAAAAGCTGTGGTACATTTACATAATGGAATACTATGCAGTTGTAAGAAAGAGAGATTTCTTACCTTTGAGACAACATGGAGGAACCTGGAGAGTATTATACTAAGTGAAATAAGCCAGTCAGAGAAAGACAAGTACCACATGATCTCACTTATTTATGGGACATCATGAACAAAATAAGCTGTCAATAAAAATATGTCCAGAGACATGGAAATAGAGAATAGACTGACAAACCTCAGAGCAAAGGGGGGTGGGGAGAGATAAACCAAAGAACTTATATGCATATAAGCATAACCAATGGGTACAGACAATAGTTTGGGGAAAGCAGGAGGGGGATGGAAAAGAGGAGGAGGGGTAAATGGGGGGGGAGTGGGGACATCTGTAATATTTTCAACAATAAAGATGAGCCCTGGCTGGTTTGGCTCAGCAGTTAAAGCATCGGCCTGCGGTCTGGAGAGACCTGGGTTCGGTTCCCACTAAGGGCACGTATCTCAGTTGCAGTGTGTCCTCGGCCCTGGTTGGGTCGTGCAGGTGTCAACCACTCGATGTGTCCCTTTCACGTCAATGTTTCTCTCTCTCTCTCCCTCCCACTCTATCTAAACAAAATTTCAAAAAATGTCCTCGGGTGAGGATAAAAAAAACAAAATAAAGATGAAAAAAAATTAAGATGGACACTATTGGTTGATATGTTTGCTGAAGAAAGGGAGGGCAGGACAGAAAGAAAATAATGACAAAAGAATTAAGAGAGATGAAATGGGATTTAGTTCACAAAAGAAGGGATACCTTGGATAGAAGCAGACACAAAGAATTTGTTACACAATTGTTTATAATGGTAACCAAACAAACAAACTGAATTTTTTTTTTTAATCCTCACCCGAGGACATTTTTCCATTTTTTGTTCAGATAGAGTGGGAGGGAGAGAGAGAGAAACATCAACGTGAAAGGGATACATCGAGTGGCTGCCACCCGCACGACCCAACCAGGGCTGGAGACAAACTGCAACCGAGGTTCGTGCCCTTAGTGGGAACTGCATCCGGGTCTCTCTGGACCGCAGGCCAATGCTCTAACCACTTAGTAAACCAGCCAGGGCCTGAATTTATTTTTTAATAATGAAAATGTGCTGTGTTGTTCCTTTAACAGTATCAAAAATATGAATCAAGCCTGGCCAGTTTGGCTCAGGAGTTAGAGCATTGGCCTGTGGACCAGAGAGTCCCGGGTTCGGTTCCCGCTAAGGCCACGTACCTTGGTTTGTCCCTGCCCTGGTTGGGGTCATGTGGGTGGCAACCAGTTGATGTGTCTCTCTCATGTCAATGTTTCTCTCTTTCTCTCTCTCTTCCTCCTGCTCTATCTGAAGACAAATGAAAAAAATGTCCTCAGGGGAGGATACACACACATACACACACACACACACACACACACACACACACACACAATGTGAATCAAGCTATTTTCATTTTGAAAAAAATAAAAATAAAAAATACCCAAAACATCAATTAGTACAGGCAAAATTGGTCAGTTTCATCAACAAAAAACTGTACTTCCTCCCCCCCCCCCCCCAATGTTGATATTAACTTCTAAAGCATTGTATTGATTGGAGCACCCTCATGTGTTCTCATTGTAGGTAATATCATTATAAATATTTTAAGCCTGCTATTTTGAAACATATTTATTTAGCTTATGAAGAAGCATGGGGCACTCTGGCCAGTATGGCTCAGTTGGTTGAGCATCATCCCATGCATTGGAAGGTTGCCGGTTCAATTCCAAGTCAGGATACATCCCGGGTTGTGGGCTCTATCCCCAGCCAGGGTGCGTGCCCAAGGAGCCCATTGATGTTTCTCTCTCATATCAATGTTTCATTCTCTCTCTCCCCCCCCTCTCCTTTCCTCTCTAAAATCACTAAAAACACATTAAAAAAAAAAAAACAGAACTTGTGGCTATCATATGAGTGATAGGAAACAATTATAATAGTGTTCAGTATGCTTGGCAAAGTATAGTTATGTGACATAAAAGGCATTTGTCTAAACCACTAGTGACACTAGTTAAGATAGGCATTATAGCCCTGGCTGGTTTGGCTCAGGGGTCAGAGCATCGGCCCATGGATCAGAGAGTCCCGGGTTCGGTTCCTTCCAGAGGCATGTACCTGGGTTGCATTTTGTCCCCAGTCCCAGTTGGGGTCATGTGGGTGGCAACCACTCAATATGTCTCTCTCACATCAATGTTTCTCTCTCTCTTTTCCTCCTTCTCTCCCTCCCACTCTATGCGAGGATAAATGCAAAAGGATAAAAAAAACTATAACAAAAAGATAGGTATTATAGCTCGGCCAGTGTGTCTCAGTGGTTGAGTGTTGATCCATGCACCAACAGGTCACCGGTTCAATTCCCAGTGATGGTACATGCCCAAATTATGGGTCTGATCCCCAGTGGAGGAGCATGCAGGAGGCAGCCAATTAGTGTTCTCTCTCATCGATGCTTCTCTCTCTCCCTCCCTCTCCCTTTCTCTCTCTAACATCAATATAGAAAAAAAAAAAAAAAGATAGGCATTACAACAATCCAGCTATTTTCAACCTTTTTCACCTCATG